AAATTCATACCAAGAATAAAAAATCATTTATCAGCAAGCTGTTCAACAATAGATATTATTGGTGAAGTAACTCTATGTATAAATATTAATGGAATAATTACTCTAGTAGTTGCTGATGTAGCAACAAATCTAGTAACCAATTTAATACTTGGAAGTGACTGGATTCAATCAAATAATGTTTACATTCTGACTCCAGAAAAACGAATTATGATTCGACGGCAAGGTAGAGAAGTATCAACTCCTTTTATTGATCCACCACTTTTAAATTACCCTGTTACTCTTATCAATCATATTACTATTCTTCCTTTTTCAGAACAAGTGGTAGAAGCAAAACTTCGACAAGAAGAAATGATGAACGTATTATTTGAACCCAATCCTCGATTAAAAAAGAAGGCATTATTTACAGCATGTACACTACTCAACATACAAGATGGAAAAGTACGCATGAGCATCATCAATGCAACCAACCGACAGCAGACACTGTCAGAAGGAACCAACATGGGTATGGTGACACAATTAGCAACATCAGTCAATTTTATTATTCCACAAGATCATTCAGTTCAACGCATTCCGAAAGGAAAAGCGTGTATGAAGCTCATCCCGCAAGGGAAAAGAGCGAATACAAACGATGGAATAAATTTCATCAGTGCTATTAACAGATCATCATGCCAGAAAAATCAACATCAATGTCGAGAATGTCAACAATATTTTCAGACTGGCAATGAGTTATTCAAACATCTCAGAGATACATGTTATCCTGATGAAATACGGAAACAAATAGAAAACTTAGTTGCACATATCAAGGATGACACGCAACAAGAACAATTGAAACACATTCTTTGGAAATATGGAAAGCTATTTGATACCAGTCAACCATCAAAAATCGATATAGTATTGAAGAATGCTATTGATACTGGTACACATCGACCTGTTCACACTCCACCTTATCGAAAATCAACCAAAGACCAAGAAGTTTTAACGAATGAAACACAAAAATTATTAAAAAATGATCTCATTGAACACTCCACATCTCCTTGGTCTTCACCGGTTGTACTGGTGAAAAAGAAAGATGGAACAACAAGATTTTGTGTTGATTACCGTCGATTAAATCAAATAACAACAAAGGATGCTTTTCCATTGCCAAGAATTGATGATATCTATGATCAATTAACCAAAACCAAGTACTTCACGAAACTTGATTTCAAAGCAGGGTACTTTCAAGTACCATTAGACGAGGTAGATCGACCAAAAACTGCATTCTCCACTAGAGATGGTCATTATCAATTTAAGGTGTTACCACAAGGATTAACCAATGGACCACCAACCTTTCAACGAATTGTTAATCAAATATTAGGTCCAAATCGATGGAAACATATGCTGGCATACATTGATGATATTATTGTATATTCGAGAAATTTTAATGAACATTTAAAACATATTGAAGAAGTATGTTCTTTATTACAATCCGCAAATTTTAAATTAAATATAGCAAAATGTGAAATCGCAAAAAATGAAATATTATTCCTTGGTCATCTCATTCAAGATGGAACTATTAAACCAGATCCAGAAAATACTCGTGGTCTAGCTGAAACTAGAGAACCAACATCAGCTGAAGAAGCATTTAGATTCGTCAAAGCAGCTGAATATTATCGAAAATTTATTCCAAAGTTTTCATTCATTGCTGCACCACTACACAAA